CAAACTCCATTAATAGTGTAGTAATGAAACATTCATGCTACATGTACATCACTTTATAACATTGTGCCACGTGACAGCACACTATTGAAAGTTTAAAAACGTAAACAATTTTTTCGCTAATCAATTCATCCCAACTTGAACGATGTCAAAAGTGATGTCCATTTTTCATATACAAATGGCTTAACACTAATGAAAACCATGGACCTTTTGAAAAAGTAACACTTTGGCCTTCCACTTCACTTGAACTAACAGTGAAAAATTGTACCCTTTTTGTTTTTAATCACTTGACTGGTAGATGAACTATTCTTGATTAAAGTTGAAGATTAAGCCATTGTTTGATGTCATTATTTTAAAAATATATTTTTCTCTTTCTTCTTTTCAATTACACATTTTTCAATTAAATAATATTATACGCAAATTTAAAATTTTTCTTTATTCTTTAATCACACATTTTCCATCAATCAACTATTTTAAAATGTATTTTTCAATATGAAAGAGGCTCAAGGTATAAGTTAGAATTTTTGGTAAATTATTATAGCGAAAACTTGATCAAACAGAAAATTTGAAATTCTAGGTTTTTTACTTGCAAGTTCTCAACTCTATCCCAACTTTTCAAACTAATTATCAGTTCATTCTACGTCTTCAGTGGCAGTGTTCATCTGCCTTATAAATATATTGAACAAAGCTCATCCTACATATTAGGTTTGTTCGTAAATACCTTGGTGTGTGTGAGTCGACGCTTTGCTACGCTATCTATACTACACGATTCTATTTCGAACTCAAATTGATGTCAAGTTTTTCATGTTTTTGTGATGTTTTTTAGATTTTTTGAAAATTAGTTTCATAATATTTGAAGGTTAAATTACAAATCATCCATAAATTCCAATTCTACTGGAAAAATAGCTACCAATCTTCGTAATATGATGAGCAAAATTTAGAATGAATTAAAACAATACCTTTATACACAAAGTGAAAAAAAAATTAAAAAAAAAATCAAAGAACTCGTTATTTCTATATCTACTATATAAAAAGAAGAATGTGAAGTTATTGTAGAAATCAATAGTGAATTCTTCCATTTTATCTTACTGTAACTTTTTTTTTCTTTTTTTTCGTAAGTAATAACGACGTCATTTCCTGTTCAACTATTCCCCTGAAATGCTACAGTGACATTTTCCCCTTTTCTCAATTGGCATTTATATTTTTTATATCTTCTCCATTTTTACACGTTACTGCCTTTTTGGTTCTTCATTTCATCACACAAATCACCTGTAATTTCTTTTTCTCTCTAAAGTTTATTGGCTCTTTTCTTTTCCATGGATGAATGATTTATTGATCGTAAAATCAAAATTATGTGGAAGAAGTAAATATAGAATGAAGTCTTTTTAACTTACAATTATGTAAAAATAATAATAATAATAAATAAAAAAAAAAACCCACGCGCACTCCTGCTACCCAGATTTTGGACAAAAAAATCTCTTCTTTTTTTGTTAAATATAAATCATTTAATGTTTCAAATTTATTTTGTTAATATATATATATATATATATATATATATATATATATAGTCTAGTTCACTCCGCGTACAGAGTGTATTCCACTTCGTATACGGAGTGGCAGGATGGTAGAATTTTTTTCTCCTTTCTCAACTCCAATTTTTTGAGTTTTGGAGAAATTTTGAGGTTGTCACTTTTTTATGAATTTTTTTAGTCAAATTTAATTAGAAATGTGCCAATCCAATTGATAAAGAAAAGAAATTGAATGATTTAACAAATAAAACAAAAAAAAATTATAGGTAAAAATAAAAAGAAACAAAAAAAAGTTATTATAAGTTTTTAAATTAAATTTAAATAATTAAAATTTAAATTTAAAAAATTGCATTTTATCGTAAAACAAAAAGAATTAAAAAGAACTTTAAATCGAACAAAAAATTATTTGTAATATGAAGAAAAAAGAAATTTTAAAACAATTTCAAAAATATAATAAAAACAAAATAAAAGAAAGTTACAAAAATTAAATAAAGAATATTTATTTAATTGAAATTAGAATTTTTATCATAAAATGAAAAGAATTAAAAAGAATTTTTTTAAATCGAATTTTTATTATTACTAATTTTTTTTTTTTTGCAATATATTTGAACAAAACAAAATTAGACCAAAAAAAAAAAATAGCTCTCCATCCCACTGTTTGACACATTTTGATGTGTGTGGATTTTACACACACTATGGATGGAGAGATTTCTCTCCGTGCACAAATTTTTTTTTCCTTTATTTTTTATTTTTTATTTGTTTTGTTTAAATTATAAATAATTTTTAAAATTCTTTTTAATTCTTTTGTCTTCATGATAAAACTTAAATTTTCAATTTTAACTAAATAATATTTATATATTCTTTATTTAATTTTTGTAACTTTCTTTTATTTTGTTTTTATTATATTTTTTTGAAAATTATTTTAAAAATTCTTTTTTTCTTCGTATTATAAATAAATTTTTTCAATTTAAAATTCTTTTCGCTTTATGATAAATCGTCATTTTTTTATTTTTAATAAATAATGTTTATTTTTAATTTTAATTATTTCAATTTAATTAAAAAACTTCATAGTAACTTTTTTCTGTTTCTTTTTATTTTTTCCTTTAATTTTTTTTTAATTTGTTTAATCATTTAGTTTTTTTATTCGTATTGGTGTAAAATGATGGTTACGAATTAAATGATTTAACAAATTAGAGAAAAAAAAAAAAGAACAACAAACAAAAATAGAAAAAAATTACAGGAAAAAATAAAAAGAAACAAAACAAAGTTATTATAAAGTTTTTAAATTGAATTGAAATAATTAGAATTAAAATTGAAAAAATCAAAATAAAAGAAATTTATGAAAATTAAATAAATTTATTTTTTCATTTCATTTTTTATCCATTTTTACTTGCATTTACAGTAGAAAACAATATCATTTCCCTATGTTGAATGGCGGGTTAATTTCACAAACGATCACTGAACTTACAAAAAAATTACAAAACAGTCATTGAAATTTAAAACTTTCAGTAATAGTCACTTAAATATTGGGACGCTTTCAAAAATGCTTACTGAAGTTTAAAAATTTTTGAGCTACTTTTGCGGCAAATTTTCGACCACTTTCGACAACCGATACCACCAGATTTTGATACCATTGAAAAGCCTACAATGTACTCTTCAATTACAACAAAAAATTTCCCCCAAACTCCAAAGGATTCGGCCGGAATAAACCCACAAAATTGGCTACTCGAAAAGGGAAAAATTTACCCAAATTTTCAGATTTTTGGTGGACTTTTGCGGCGATGTTTTGACAACTTCCGACTACCAAAATAGCCAAATTTTGATACCGTTGGAAAGCCCACAATGTCCTCTTTAATTAGGATCCAAAATCTCCCCAAAACTCCAAAGGATTCGGTCGGAATAAACTCACAAAGTTAGCATCCTAGATTTTCACCTTTTTGGGATGCCGACTTTGCGGGTTTATTCCGGTCGAATCCTTTGGAGTTTGGGGGAGATTTTGGATGGTAATTGAAGAGGACATTGTGGGCTTTTCAACGGTATCAAAATCCTGTGGTCTTGGTGGTCGAAAGTCGCTGAAAAATTGTCGTAAAATTCGTCCAAAAATCTGAAAATCTGCGTAGATTTTCAGATTTTTTGGGGCAACTTTTGCGGTGATTTTTCAGTCGAATTCCTTGGTGTTACGGAGAAATTTTGAGTGGTAATTGAAGAGGACGTTGTGGGCTTTCTAACGGTATCAAAATTCGATGGTATCGGTGGTTGGAAGTAACCGAAAAATTGCCACAAATGTAACCAAAAAAACTAAAAAAAAATATTTTTCAACTTCAGTGACTATTTCAGTAACTTTTTAAACTTCAGTGACCGTTTTTGAAAGCGTTCCAATATTTAAGTGACTGTTACTGAAAATTTTAAACTTCAGTGACCGTTTTGTAATTTTCTGTAAGTTCAGTGACCGTTTGTGAAATTAACCCTTGAATGGCAAAACAATCCGTTTATTCAATTAATATGACAAATGATTGAATATATCTTATATATAAATATAGAAAATATTAATTATTTAATTAATAATAATTAAATCTTGATCAATGTATGTTATATTTACTTCTTACCTTAATGTTTGAAATGAATTTTTTTTCCAAAAATGAAAAAATAAAATAAAATAAGATAATGATTAAAATTGAGAAATATCCTTCTCAACTCCACATTTAGAAGGTATTCCATCATGCAAAAATTCAAATGTTAGAACATTGAACAAAAAATAATTCAATAAAGTATAATATCAAAAAATTAAGTGAAGTTAATTGTAACTATTATTTTAAAGTTTTTTAATTGCAATGAACCAAACGATCGGATTTTACCAAACACTTTGAATCTTTAACAAGTTTTGAAAAATCTACAATTTTGACACTAATAAAAACACACTAAATACAAAACTCGTGCAACGCACGTGACAATGACTAATTATTAAATCAATGATGGATATATTATAGCTTGAAGCACAAAAGAAACTCTCAACTTAGCATATTCAATTAAAAGTGTCACGTCGAAGTGAGCAACTTGATCTTTAAAGACACAACAATCATACTAGGCAAGACTTGGCAAGACGCTAGTTATGTGCTAAAACTAAGCTTGGTTAGTAGTGTCGGTCCGTTACCACTCTCCCTCTTGTTAAACCATGAATTCTTTGGAGTGAGCTGAATGATCATGTAAGTAGAGATCATGGAATAAGAAGCTCATCGCCTTGCAAAATCTTTTCTTAGTATAATTATTTATATCACTATTAAGAGTATTTTTATATTTTAGGATCATAAATATTATATTTTTTTCTTTCTACTGTTACGTGTCAATTTCTATCACAATTTTAAGACCATTCCATCCATTGGTCAAATTTTTCAAACAAAAAAAAATAAAAAAAAAATAAAATTTAAAAAAAAATAATAATAATAATAATTCGTCTGTTGCGTTTTCAAGTTTATACATCTTCCAACCAAAAGCAATCCTCTTATCGTCTAAGCAACGCAATGGAACCCCTATATAATTGGGAGAATTGTTTAATCCAAAACCATATTCTCTTTTCTCATCTACAACTTGTAACCATAAAATAAAGAAGACTGCCATGGCTTCCAACCACACCAAAAAAGTGCTCCACGACCTCTCTCCTTATCTCGTAGTGTACACAGATGGAACCATCGAGAGATTCGTGATCACAACTAGTGTCCCTCCGTCACCGGAGGACCCAACCACTGGCGTAGCCTCCAAAGACATAATAGTTGTTTCACCGGATGTCAAAGCCAGACTATTCCTGCCAAAGCTGACAGACACCGACCAAAAACTCCCCGTTTTAGTCTACTACCATGGCGGTGGATTTATCGTCGATTCCCCCTACTGTTTGCCCTACCACCGTTACATGAATTTTTTAGCCGCCGAAGCAAAAGCTCTAATCATTTCTGTTGAATACAGGCTCGCCCCTGAACACCTTCTACCCATAGCCTATGAAGATTCGTGGACTGCCCTTCAATGGGTGGCATCTCACGTTATTGCAAACGCTAATATCGAAAAGGATCCATGGATTATTAAACATGGCGATTTTGGTCATCTGTATATCGGTGGCGATAGTGCAGGTGGCAATATAGCACATAATATTGCTCTCCGAGCTGGGGTGGAACCATTGATCGGGGATGTGAAAATCATGGGTACGTATCTATGTTATCCGTATTTCTGGGGATCAAAACCAGTTGGACCGCAATCAAAAGAAGATTTGACTGGTTTTGCATATAAAGTTTGGATGTGTGTTTATCCATCAGCCGCTGGTGGGATTGACAATCCGATGATCAATCCATTTGTAGAGAACGCCCCGAGCTTATCCGGGCTGGCGTGTTCAAGGCTGCTGGTTTGTTTAGCAGGGAAGGATGCATTTACGCCTAGAGGGATTCTCTACGTTGAGACTGTGAAGAAAAGTGGGTGGAAAGGTGAAGAACAACTGGTGGAGGTTGATGGAGAAGATCATGAATTTCATGTAAATAATCCTTATACTGAGCAAGCAAAGGATTTGATGAAGAAATTGGCTGCTTTCATTTCCAAGTGAGATTTTTTTCAGCTTTTGTAATAAGTATGCATATTTCAGCTTGTGGTGTAGTTTATATTGAACGTGTTGTGGCCAAGTTTACAATAATATTTACTTATGCAAGATTACTTTTTATGTGTATCTTTATAAAAATTAAGTGTTTGTTTGGGAAAATTTAAAACGTTACTAAATAATTTAGTTCAAAATCAGTAATTAATTTTAATTTCGAATTTCATGCAACCCACAAACTTTATCAATCTTTTCACCATATGTTCAATCAACTTTTATCAAAATTTATTTTAACTTTAATCAAAAGCTTTCTAAATCAAACCCCCTCTTTTTGTTTTTTAATTTTTTAATTTTTTTTTATTTGAGCACACAAAAAAGGAACACTTCTGATAATAATATGTAAGTTTTATTCGACCTTATCAACAACTTAAGAAAATTTAACATATTAAATTGGATATTATAAAAATAAATGATCGGTACTACATCTCTCTCATGCACTCCTCTGGACAAATAAACATGACATTAGAATCTGGGGACCACCTATTATTATTGGCCGACCCACTATTATTATGTAACCAATAAGATTATCCCTAAATTTCCACGATGTTGACGATTATGGCCTACTGTAAAATTACTCTGTAAAATTTATAATTTTATAGTATGTTATCGGCACATTTTCATGTTGCTCATTTATTATTATTATTATTATTATTATTATTATTATTATTATTATTATTATTATTATTATTATTATTATATGCGATGATAACAATCCATTTTTCTTAGTAACTTATGCAATTAAAATAAAAGCTGTGTTCCACAATTAGATGTTTACTCTTGAAATAATACTTATCAAGAGTCTTACTTGAAATCTTGTGAATATGGAATTGTCACTTTTGCTAATATTTAATCTATAAAATAATATGTGTGGATTACTTGAAAACTTGTGAATATGGAATTATGACTTTTGCTACATCTATGAATAATACATGATTCTCCACTATTATTTCTTATGCTTCATTGGTTAGAATTATTGTATTTGTTACTTTTGCGTTCTTACTTTCAACTAAATTAATTATTTTTTGACTAAATTTGACTAAATTAATTATTTTTGACTAAATTTGACTAAATTAATTATTTTTTGACTAAATTTGACTAAATTAATTATTTTTTGACTAAATTTGACTAAATTAATTATTTTTTGACTAAATTTGACTAAATTAATTATTTTTTGACTAAATTTGACTAAATTAATTATTTTTTGACTAAATTTGACTAAATTAATTATTTTTTGACTAAATTTGACTAAATTAATTATTTTTTGACTAAATTTTGACTAAATTAATTATTTTTGTTTAAAATAAAGAGAAGGACGACAACTAGAGAGATTAAGAAAATATTATAAGCGTACTAACGCTAATTAAGATTTTAAAATATAGAATTTAATTAAAATTTATGTTTCCATCAAAATTAAATTATATTTATGTAGTTCATGTTTAATATTGTTATCTTTTAACAAGATTAACTTCCCGGAGAAAAAGACAATTTATTTTTATCTTCAAATATATGAGAGGCATGATAATATTGATTGAATTTATGGATTGTTTCTCATAATTAATTAGATTTGATTGGTTATTTGATAGTGGAGTCATGAAATTATTGGTATTTTGTACTAACGGCATATTTGGCTTTAAATTATAGGCTCCATCTCATATGAACGTATTCTTTCTTATAGTCCCCAAATACTTTTCTTATAAAAAGGATTGTTTTGTAGGGACCAAGTGAGTAGCTTTCAAATGAAAGATATGAATATAAATTATAAAGAAATTATGTACATGGTATTATTGAAACAAAATATCGTTGTCGAGTAAAATTCCAATGGATGCGTGTCTCACTTTCTTTTGAGTCCCTGTACTAGACAACTATGAGTATAATCATAACAAATATTAAATTGAACAAAAAGTTCAACATCTTGAAAATATTTATTGTTTTGACATGGCCAATTATACTATCACTTGACCAAAATGATGCAAAATGAGAATTTCAATAAATGTTAGTTGAATAATCAAAATATTATTCAATTAAACGAATTCTCGAATGATATTTGTTCATATTGAAAATTTATCATCAACCATCATTAACTAAGGTTAGGATTGTCTCCCTATAATCTTTAAAATAAATTACCGTGATGTAAAGGTACTATCATCCTCTATGTTGATCATCTATCTATTATTTTTATCTTTGATACATCTAGGAAACGATTCCATGATGTTCTAATATATTCACAATCTGAAGTTTGTGAGATTACTCGCTCAAATTTTAAATTATGATTATAATTTTCAGATTATACCATCAAGACAGTGTTTCTTGTCAATATTTTATAGTTACGATGATGATAAATGTTAGTTCTTATGAGGATAAATGAACTAGCAGAATTGATTGTTGTTAAGTGCCTCCTACTAATTGCTAAATCATTGCCGTTGGGAATAAAATACTTTTATTTTCGCTTAAAGAATGATACTTTACAAACGATAACACTTATATGCATTAAGTAAACATCAAAATTCTCATCGGTATATTTGGTTTACGGTCACGGTCTAATGTTTCCGTCTAATGATTTTTATTTTGCCATATATTTCAATTTCTTCATCATAGTGCACTGTAATAGACATTAAAGAATGCTGCAGAAAGTACATGTTTAGATTGAATTCTTCTAAAATATCTTAAGGCTTGATGAGTGATATTTTATACAACGTTTGCCGACGTCATTTGTATTGGACAAGATAATTTGAAATAGAAGTTAGAGATTTCATTTAGAAATTATCGATAAAAAGATTAGCACTATTTCATACAATAGTTTTATATGCTTCAACATAACTTGACGTCTTAGAAAGACATATCTAATAAATCAATGACACGCCTAAAGCATGATGACATTTTATTTTAATACAAAAATCTCCAAAAGTATATGAAGTAAATAGTAATGATGGTCACACCAAAGAGATACTTACTTTGTGAGTATATAGACATAATAATTGGAAAACTCCAAAAGAGGTTAAGGTACATGAAATATTTAAAATTGAGATATCTCAATAAATTATATCGCTCTAGAGAGATTAAATGGAATAAAAAGGGAAAAAAATGTCGACAGCAAGCAATGTTTTATATGATATTCCACTTCATATTATCAACAAGTAGGATATTGAAATAAATTCTTTTAAATATATCCACACAAAAATGATTGGCCATATTAAGGGACGCAATCCAAAAAATATTAGTTCAAACTTTTAGATTAAGTAGTTCAATATTAGTTCTCTAAAAATTACAAGTGTAAAACATCGTCAAATTCGTAGCAAGTGGACTTAAGGAATCCGAATTATCATTTTAATTAATATTATTTATTCTTACTTTAATCATATTATTTATTTGAATTAAATCCAAAAACTAACTTTGAAGCTGTTTCTATTTTATAGATTAACACTAATCTATGATCAACTAACTAGTTGACATGGTCGATTTATGGATTATAGCGATCAGGAAAAAAAAAAAAAAGCCCTAAAATTTTATATTTTCCTTGATATATCATATCAAACCATGAAAAATAATTATCATATGTATTCGGCCGAACTTCTCAAAGTTAATTGAAAACCTCTCTCAAGAAAATTTGCTTATACTCAATTAATTTACACCCGCTGTATCGTGAGTTTTAACTAAATTAAATGCAATTATCCGTCCAAAATTTTTTTTGACAATCACAATGATTGTAAAAGTAAATCTGTATCCTCTAGTTAAAACTAAAATACTGCTTTTACTATTCGATCTACAAAATATGGAAGAAGTGTTTCCACTACGCTACCACCCAATCAATTTTCTACTTAATCCCCATTTCTCTTCCACATTCCTTTCCGACTAAGAGAGACAAATGACTCGATTGTCGACTCATCAACATCCGTACGTCAATTAATTATTGATTAGATAACTAATTGCAATCATTACAATAATAAAAAAAATACACAACATCGTTAAATCGAGGATTCAATCATAAAAAATTTAGTGTTTAGACATAAAATTACATTGTTTCCCTAACAAATTTAGCCGTAAATCATCATGAGAGAAGTACATCACTGAGTTTATTATTGAAAAAATAATAATAATAAAATAAAATTGAAATGAAATCTTGTATTTTTCATTTTATTGAATCTTCAAAAATGTCTTATTTAACTAGAAAAAAAAATAGGGTCTTTTTAGGTCTTAAAAAAAAATTTAAAAATAAGTCTACAACAAAAAATACGTAAAAATTAGTTGGCCCGTGTGGCTGCTAAAAATATGGCGTGCTACTATAGTAGAGCAGCCACCCGCTTCCCATCGAAGTGACGAGCTGGGAATTTCTTAATTCTCTTAATTTTGCAGCTCAAGTCCTACAAGCTTTTCGATTTTCCCCATAACACAAAAAACTAAAAACTTTTGTTGTCCCTGTCGCAAAATAGAATTAGAAAATTAAATCTCAAGATACACACGCAAAACTAGAAAAGTAAGATTCAACTTCGTCGGACAACTTATCATATTCTACTTAGGTTTGCATCTAAGCATTTAATTCAAAACAAACTTCACAATATTGCTATTGAAAAGATTTGAAGCCTATCATATGCGAATAGCCACGCTAAGTTATTACTTAAGTCCGTATAAAGTTGTGCCCAAAAAAATAAATAAATAAATATATATATATATATATATATCTGCAAGTTGGCATTAATCCCAACCCTTAATATCAAATATCTCCTTTCCTACTTATGAAATGCACTCTCCCACATTGAAATTTTTCCAATGGTACTATTTATAAAGTTGCACTCAATTCACTCATTTCCTTTTCGTTTGAGATTGAAAAGATTAAACCGGAA